TACATGCGAGTGACTTGGATGAGAGACAGTATAAGAGAGTGTCACTGGGAAAGAAAGAAGGAGAAGTGATGCATGAACTCATCTATAAACATGGTTTCTTTGAACGTAAAGAACAGATTGATTTCCAAGGTTCATGTAGCGTGTCACCATATTCACCAAAAGTAAGTAAATACTCTGACAATAAAATAGTAGAGTTGTCTGAGATTTTATAAGATTGGGCAAGATACAAGATGTTTTATTTGAAACAAACACAATACATAGTTGGTAAAGTCCACTGAACACAAAATGAAATGTAACAATAAAAAACTGAAATTACTACATTACTAGAGGAAATATTGCTAAAACGATTGACATATGTTTGTAATCTGGTACACATATAAAACTGGTGGAATGTATTTCTACACTCTTTGACTCCCGTGTGCGAAGCACAAAAAGGGAGTTTTTGCAGTTAGTGTGTCTGTCTGTGTGTGTGTGTGTGTCTGTTCCACTGATATCTCAAGAACCATACAGATTTTTGATGAAACTTGGTGCATAGATGCTCTGGGCCAATGCGCAGATTTAATTAGGTTTTGGTAAAAATCCATGCATATTAATTACCTAATTTGCATGATAATTAGCTGATTTTTAGCTGTTCCATGACTGTTCCACTGATATCCAAAGACCCACTCATTGGATTTTGATGTAACTTGGCACATAGATGCTCCAAACTAATGCGCAGATTTGATTAGTTTTGGGTAAAAATCTGCAATATTAATTACCTATACCATAATGATTAATAAATTTTCGACATAATAATCCATATTTTTTTGTGAGTTCTATTTGCATGTTAGACAACATTGTAGACCGGTGGCATCGCTGAATTATATTTTCCCAGTGAGTCTCGAACAGTAATCTTGTTTCAACACCAGAGACAGTATGTTTCACCTTTCTCAAAACTTGCAATTCATTTTTAAAATGTTGATCAAGATCTGTAACTAATGAGAAATGAAAGGTTTGTGAAAATTAAAAAATAACACAAAAATATGTATGAATAAATGCTGACAGCACAAACAATGATGCTCATTACATGGTTTCTCTTTATTTCCAGGTAACATTGGATGGTATTGCTAAAACACCAGAAGAGTTGGATGATTATTTCCGTACAAAGGGACCAATCCCATCATTCTCTAATAACTTTGGTTGTATACAGGATGTAGTAGGGTACCAAGCAAATAGCTCTGCATTAGGTAAAAATACCAATCATTTGTGCTCAATGTATTGTAAAATACTTTATTTTAGCTCGATTTCATTTTCCCTGAAAAGAATCTTTGGGTGTTTTGTGTGGAATTTATTTTCACTGATTTTTGACGAGTTGAATGCAAAATATAGGAAAAGAGGTATATTTGCAGAATTTTATTTTCACTGAATCATTCCTTCAGCGAAAATGGCGAAAATTAATTCCAATCGAAAATAAAGTGTTTTACAGTAGTTTATATTGAGGGCACTCTTCATGTGACATCAGAGTGAAGCGTGCAATGGTTATATCAGAAATTCAGTCATTCTCTATTGTGTCTAAAACAAGTTACCAAATTTATTGGTAACTATTTAAGTTTTTGTTGCTAGAAATGGCCATGATTTTTATAATAGCATTGGTTTGAGTTGCGTCTTTATCACCTTCATGCATATTTATGAGGTAATTAGCAATTAGAATAATGACCAGGCGTATTTATATCTGTTGTACCATTGAGGTGTTTTTGCTGAAAAATTCAGTGCTAAAATGGTTTTAATAAACATGGTATGTAGGTGCTCTCGGATAATCCTAAACATAATTACTTTTGGGTTGTAACCGTGTATATTATTTAATGAAACTAGTACATACATGTATATATACAGGTAGATGTGCATTTTTAATTAATCCAGTTTTGAAATTCAGGCAGATTAATTCCCTAATTTGCATAAATTAAGAATTTTTTCTGATATTTAAGTAATTCATCAGATTTAAATTACATAAAATATATCAAACTACCAACTTACAATAAGATTTATTTCTGTTGTTTTATAACTGTGGTTCAAAAAGACAAATCTGAGGTAGAAAAAAATGTTAGGAAACTAAAAACAATGCTATTCACTGTTTGATAAAATTTTCGAAGCCAATAAATTATGAAAATCTGCAAAATAATTACAATAGATAGTTGAAATTTTATAGAGTAGGCGATTTTTTTCAGTAGATTGCTCTCGTATTCTGCCTCTCATAGATCAGACCTATGTACCTTCTCATTTAAAAGACTATTGTTAAATTTGGAATTAATTTTAAATAATCCTTTTTTATACTTCATATGTCTTCCTTGATATTGTGTTTTAGGGCCAAGTGGTATGATCACTGGCAACGTCACTGGCGCTTGCAAATCTGGTTTCTACTATCTGACAGCTTTGCCAAAAACTAATCTTTTTCTACTGGTTATTGAAAACTGGAGGAATGACTCTGAAAGTAACTTCTTCAATTTTAACTGTAGAATAACAAACAGGTAAGTAGACCATAAAAACATGATCTCAATCGTTTACGTAAATACATTAGATGCAAGTCTGTACATGTTTCACTCTTTTGTTGAGAGATTGTTGAAGTGATTCGTGAATGAAAAATGATGTAGATATTGGTAAGGGCGATGTCATTCACTGCATCAACTCTGTTTACTTGTACTTGTAAATTATAATATATCTAGTTGTTATACCTGATAAAATTATTTTTTTTTAATTTTCTTTCTCTTAATTTCTTCCTTATGCCACTATGTATTATTGAAACGAAAAAAAAATATTATTTAAAAAAAAAATATATATACTTTGTATCGTTCGGCCACATAAAGCTATGAGAAACCTGATAGGGGAGCCATGCAATAATTTACATATCACACTTCGATTTGGCCATATTTGGACAAACATATTCCTTTTATAGATTCAGAGCGTTGCAGACTTCCAACTGGTTTTATCCAGTTACTGGTACATTGCGTTACTGGAGATGACATTTGTAACTAGTCTGTATTCATTTTGACCATGCAGAATTTTGCTAATATGTTGTGGAACTTGCCTTTATGAAACATTGATCACATTAACACAACTAGCTGAATATATAAACACATTCAAGGAATTGCGTGTTATGGTCGTGATTCTATCAGCGGTTCTAGTTTGAAAGAGTATGTTAAATGTTGATGTTGTTATGTCAAGCAAAGGAATCAATCTGCACTGTGCACATTTCAATAAGTGTTAGAAATAAGATTAATAACCAAGTTATTATAAAGTGAAAAAACCAGTAGTTCAAAACACTGAAATGTATTTTAATGTGCCCTATAAGGTATATGATAAAAACTTTATAGAATGGATACGACTTTCCCAGCCCCTTTTCGTACAGCTAACACTAGCTTGGGTACTTCTGCCATAGGACAGCGAAAACTGTATCAAGTCGTTAAGTGTTCGCTTTGTTTTAATTATGCTATTTTTACAAATAAGTGAAATCTATCTTAATATCTGTTACCGTGGTAATTATAAAAACGCAATGAGTACAAACAAATATCAAAATTGTGCAAATACCAGTGATTTTACAGATATTTAATCAATTGTGAACTTCATGAACCTATTATCAAATATGATTACTAATGTATTATGTGCTGGTGAGCATTTATTGACATCTTGAAGACATGTGCACTCATATTAATTAAAGGGTTACAATGACTTGATATGTTGTTATTTAGGTAGTGTAGTAACCCAAAATGTTGTTTTGTTGGTATTGATGGTAAAGGTATTTCATTATATCTAGATTGATGTCTAGTTGCAAAAATTTACTGTAAAATATTCTATTTTCACTTGGAAATATTATTTTAATTTGCTACTTTAACTAAAGGGATTAATCAGTGATAA